TTCAGATCTGGGGTAAGTGCTCTATTAGGCTATTTGAAGGTCACTTTGAGGTCACACCAAGCAAGACTTTTAAAAGAGGCGGAGCATTCGAGCATCACCGCATAACACTTAAGTTCTTCTGTTTACAAAGTCAGAAAGAGAGGTTAGCTAGTCTCTGTAAGGGCATCCGAAGGTAATTTCAAAGTCACTTTATAGAAAATTCAATTAAGTGCGGTCATCCAAAGCCCAAATTAGAGATCAATTCATCTTTAGGCAGCCACTTGAATGGTATTTTTAATATGGCAATATAAATGTTGTCCAGTGGAAAAGGAAATGGGAAGGAAATATTTATAACTATCAACCTATTCGTAAATTCGGCAGGTGCTTTCACCGTGTCCATCGATTCTCTGGAAGTATGAGCAGTGGCTCCATCCTGTTAAATCGACGTTCTTGTTATTACAATAGGAGCAAAAAAGTGTCAATCATGTCCTTGAAAATAGTCCCTTTTGGACTATGTAGCTGTTGTTGATGTTTCTCTTTTGGGTTCAATTTTGCTGTTGAAAAGTAGTCGCGAACGATGCAACACAAATTTCAATTTTAATTGACACTTTTTGTCTCTGACAATAGTCTGCTATGGTAAAAGTAGTGTAAGCAAAGTTCTGATTCCTTGACCAGATTATTGTCCAAGGTGTTAACTTCAAAATAGTTAATAACCTTTGTCCATTTTCGATACTTTGTTTTCTCCAGATTTTTGCATAGACAGACCACTATGTGACAGTCCGTACCCTATTCCACTGCATTGTGGACCTGATCTACGATATTTAATAGTAATCTCATCTTTATTCACGCTATTATCATTATCTCTACTAGCTGGTTCCTCAGAATTGCAATTATTCTATCACATGTACAGGGTGGCCCTAACCTGCATAGCTGGAGTATTACTCCGGGACACAAAGCTCTTCGAAAACTGCTCAGAGTTAGGCCGCACCGTCCATGTAAGAATACCTTTGTCCTCCCACTAATGCGCTGTATGTTAAAGTTGTTTTTTAGATGCCCACACTTCTTTACATATTTGCATATATCTTATTTCCTATACTTGTTAACATATACCTGCGTCTTCAAATTTAACTCTCGCTATTTTGACCTTGGGAGCGGTAAGAGATACGATGTCAGTTGAATGGAAGCAAGGCTGCGCACTTAGGTAACCAAGAAAACTGAACTAGAAAGTTTTGCAGTTCCGAATACTGCAAGAGATAGACGAAAGAAACCGAATTTTTCCAAAATCGTTTTCAATACTGACTTTGTTTGAGATGTGATTTCAAAAGAAAAAAGTACATTACATCTGCAAGATGATGTAATAAAAATTTCAATCTGATGGTTCTTATCTTGTTCTCAATAACCAACTTCACAGGTGGATAGAGTTTTTGATTCCGATTTCAAGAAGGCATAATATGCCATACACTGACTTTGCCAAAGCTAAGTTATTTCAATAAAAACTAATATCTTCATAGTTGTCTTTGAGAATGACAGTTTATCCGTTTATCCAGTTTTTGAGTTTTTGAGAAGCGTGTTTAAAGGACACCCAGATAATGTGCTCATCTATCGAGCACAGAAAGTGTTGTACCGGCCTCGCGAAATCACTCTACATGATACCTCAGCCCCAGATTAATAGCATCTAAATGCAATGCAAATAGTGTTTTCTTTTTGTTCTAAAAGCGATTACTCAAATAATTAACCATTCGCTTGAAAATGGGTTAGTCTCTAAAATTTGGAAAGGCGCATGCGTTAAGCCTTTTGCTAAAATTGATGCTCCAGAAGGGCCTGGTGATTATAGCAGACCAATTAGTATCCCTCCAGTGTTATCAAAAGTATTAGAGAAAATTGTATATGAGCAATTGATGTAACACGTCACTACCTTAAAGATAATTTTGCCTACGCAGTTAGGCTCTTGAAAAAACCACTGCATCGTAGTAACTCTGCGACTTCGTAAGGGCAATAGCTAATTCTAAAGTTACTACTGCTGTCATGCTGGATCTAAGGAATTCATTTGATTGCCTTAACCGCGAACTACTTTTTTCAAAATTTCATTATTTTGGTTTCTACGATAGTTCGACTAAATGGTTTCGCAGTTATTTTCATGAACGCACTCAGAAGGTAAAAACCGGTGGCAACTATCAGAGGAGGGTACTACGTCAAGAGTATATTCTTGAACCTATTCTGTTTTCCTATATGTAGCGGACTTAGATCCAGTTACTAAATACTGCAAACTACATACCTACGCCGATGATTCACAGATTTACTTATCTTATATCCCTGCTATGTACACCACCGCGAATGAGATGCTGTCTGAGAATTTAAATAGTATACGTATTTGGTATAACAAACATGGCTTATGTATTAACCCTCGAAAGTCAGCTATCTTAACTATTGAAACTAAATTCCGCAAATTCAATAGTAAATCAATAAATCTGTGTATTGGAGATGATGAGCTTTGCCGCAAGACATCGGTTCGCAACTTGAGTACCACATTTGATGATGAAAGTTGAAATCAATTTATAGCTATAAAAATGTATTGTCCAAGCAGAATAAGGTTAAGTGCGTGACCTCCTTATCGTCAGTAAACTTGAATACGGGAACCTTGTCTATGGGCCATGTCTAATAGAAAGCGAGGCATACAGACTTCAAAAAGTGCAAAACAGCTGCATAAGATTCATTTCAAAGGCAGGAGAGGGTATCTGATCAAATTAAAAATATTCAATAGATTATGTGACAAAGGTGGATTCTGCATCTATTATCAGTGATCCACAGTATTTTTATGAATAAAATGCCTATTTATTTGAAAAATCATGTATTTTCATGTAATTTTATTATTATATTTATTATTATATTTGTTTGTGCATGTTTACTCACTTGCCTCTTTTCATTTGTTTGCGTTTTGTCTGTGTGCTGTTTGCTCTTAATTTTTATTAGTTATTTCTAAGCATGGTTTTTGATTCTGCTACGCACTCTCTTGATGCACGTTTCTCTTTTGGTCATTATTCCATGCATAGGCTACGATTCTGTAAAAAAATGTTCTTGCTTTAAATTTTCTTATTATCTTCTCGATGTATTTTTCTTTACCTGTATATACTTGTATTTTTTGCCTTGGTTGTTTCTGAAAAACAGCTTTTGCTGATGTAACCCGCCAGGTAAAATATATGCCATTTATTATTATTATTAAGATGTCTGCATCAGTTTAGATATGGCAGATACAATATGTGTTTAGAAAGCAGTTTCATTGTCGAAGCTTCTACTTACTCCAAAATGTTTCTATCAGTTACATAGAATAGTACTGACTGTTTTCATTTTTTTAAATACAACCCTTGAATAATACACGTATATGAAAGTTTCAGCATTTAGTTGTTCTGTATGAGTTAATATCACTGCCAGTGTAGACATGTCATATATTTTTAAAATCACCTGTATAAAAATTCAATATGGCGTCTATAAGAAAAAATGAAGTTGTGATTGTCGATAAGAGACGAAACGTTATATTGAAATTGCAATTATGGCATCACGTAGGAGAGAAAGAGTGGCAATGTTAATTTACTTTTCTTTTTGAAGCTTCATATCAAATAAGAAACTAGAAACGATTTTATAAAATTCGGTTCACTTCGTCTCTGGAAGTACTCGGAACTGCTTTTTAAGTGCCATTCTCTTAGTTGCCTGAATGCGCGACTGTGGCTCCATTTAACCGACTTCGTATCGGCACTGCGGTGTTTCCGTCTGACTATAGTATGCAACTTAGCTTTGGGCAAATGTAACATCAGATCTGATCCACAGCACATAGCTCAAGGAACTTGACATACAGGCGACCCACTCAGCTACTGAAAGTGAATACGAAGCGGTACCTAGTTCCAGTGTGACAATTCTGTCAAACAGATCGATATCCCTGTCACTTTGCCGTTGCGTAATAAGAGTACCGATTTGTACTATTACGAATAATAATATATCCTTTGGGTTCAAAAGCGACTAGAGTTTCATTTAACTTTACGAATCTCAGAATATACTTTCTGGGAGCTGAGTATAAATATTTCATAGAGTTACCATTAAAAAGCTTCGTCTCAATGTGAAACTCTTAATCTGTCAACCAAAACACGAAAACAGAATCGCTTAACATACGACGAATTCCGCAAGCTGCCTTGCAAACGGTTTCATTAGTGAAATTTTGTTCTATTTCTTCCATGCATTCATTGAGTGATTCTCTGTTCTCAAACACTACATCTATTGTTCGAATATTATAATTCCAACGAGTTGTTGCTCTTTGGGGAATTTTTCCCCACAATTCTGTTCAGTACCTCTACGCGATGAGGGGAAATATTAAAACATCCCGGAATATCTTTCAAAGCCCCAAAGAACACCCTAACTTGAGCATTTGCGGAAGCAGCTTGGGACATAATCAGGTTTAACTGATGCGCATAGAATGCACATAGTGAGCAAATGAATATCTTTGTTGAATTTTTGCCCGTACTCTAGCATTATGTCCGCTCATTACCGCGGCTCCATCATAGCTTTGTGAAATCAGTTTTTTAGGTAAATTTGCTGTTAATGGATCTACGACGCCCAAAATATGTCTTGTGAGAGTATCAGCGTCACATTTTTCGGGATTCATATAATTCCTAAAACGTTCTACTGGTTCGCCGTTAAATACGTATCTGAAAATTGGTTTTCCCCGAAATGTCCGTTGTTTCATCTGTCATTATCGCCAAATCGAGGCTCTGTTAATCTGTTTTACTATTTCTACATGACAAACTTCAAGAATATAATTCAGTAGATCGTTTTGTATTTCTTTCGAAGTTCCTTTAAATATTGAAGCATTTTTTATGTGTTCGCTTAAGGTTGCATCAAACTCAGCAGAAAAATTAATCAGTCCACGAAATAATTCCGGGTTTTGGGAGCTCTCGGTTTCGTCGTGGCCCCTTAGCGCCAATTAAAATGCTCCCCAAAAATTTATACAATCGATTATTTTTGATAGAACGTACCTGTTTTTGTAACGGTATCATTATGCTGTTGTGTATTTCTCCAATATGCTGAATATAACTGAGCTCTGATGTTAACAGTCCCCAATAATGCCAATTCCATCCAATTATGAAGATGTGTTTTAGAGTTTTCATGCTTCTTAATTTTTTCTCTCAGGTGCACTAAATCTGTAAGATTTACCTCCATCCAAGCTTTGTCACCGCCGAAAAGTATGCAAGGAAATCAGAAAAGGGCATTCTTCCTGTTGTACCCACAAATCCAGTCATTTCTGGTGTAAATATCCGTGCTGAAATACCGCGTATAGCCCTTGCCCCGACTAACGCTCTGTGTTTCTATAAATATTTCCGGCAGCGGTCGACCTGACACCTTCAGCTCAATTTTTTCTTCAAATGTGTATTTCCAGAATCGTTTCATGCTGATACGTCTGTAAACCACATCCATTGTCTTGTACTACACTTCTACACAGCCACAGTCAGTCAGTGAGTCACTAGTCACTCAACGTAAGACCCAAAATACCTAAACTGCAGCACATGCTTATGCTTAAATCGCGCATTTGATTTTGTAGAGAGAGACAAAAACAAGCGCGTGCGGCTTGTGTCGAAGTAATGCACAGACCCTTTTCAAGTGGCCCATGAATAATGTTACGCTGCGGTCGCGACGAAAATGAAAAGTACACAATTGGTCGATTATAATGCTATCTCAGTACAAAACAGACTCGACGCCGTGTCTTGCGGGGGCAGGCCGTTACTGTTTCTATTTGTGTGATAACATGGAAAATAAAAAATGACCAAATTACTACTGCCTTTTTCTGTTAAGACAATAGTTTTGGCAGTTTTGCAACTCTGCAGAACTTAAGGGCCAGCCGCCCCTGAACGTCAGTCTTGTCAGATTATCTTCATTGTCTTTTTTGCAATTTCAGAAAGTAGAATAATAGTTGACATTGATTTGATTTGATGGTCAGTATGAAACATATTGGAGAAATTTATTGTATAGTAAGTGACACCTGGACCTGTTCAGTTCCTGACAGATGAACTTGCAATTTGAATCGACCCCTCCTTTCTTCAAAAACTACCTCTGATGATATATTACAAAGACAAAATAGTTGAGATGCATACAATGCTTATGTATAAACCTGGATGCAGGATAATCTCATAGTGGTAGCACGTATTCGTAATTCCGTCAAAATTTTAATTTTTCTATTCCACCTTTGTTATGAATAAAATTCTTTTTCAGATATGATAGATATCCTGAGAGAGACGGATACTTGCCACCAAGAAGTAGATATGGAGGTGGTAGGGACCGATACGATGACAAATATTATGACAGATACGGTGGCGGAGGCAGAGGTGGTGATGCATATGATAGATATGGCGATTATGATAGATACGAACCTTCAGAGCGGTACGATCGCTATGACAGGTAAGAACATAAAATCCTCAAGATCAGGATTTGTCTATTAGTCCAATCATATCAGCAAATTTCTCCGAAATAATTGTAAAGTCTGGTTTTATTGGTGCAAGTTGTTCAAGGGGGTATTTAAAACTTTGACGCATAAAATGGGTACACCAATTTTTTTGGGAAAACTTTTTATTCGACAACAAAAAATGAGAAAACGTGCTTTTGGGGATTCAATCGAAAGTGTTGACAGTTATTTCGCTAACCGGGCTATTTTTGTTTAATATGATTAGAGTATATCATGCTAACTTGGAGCCCACACATCATTAATATGATGAACTGGAAATGTCTGACTTTCAAGCGACACACAGTGTGTTCCTTTATAGGGATCAGGGACAAAATTCGATATCTTAAAAACCAGTGGTCCTATTTGAATTCTGTAAACGCAGGGCGATTACTTATTTAAGTAGCTTTCTAAAGTATGACAAAAATTATTTAAAATTATAAGAAGGGGTGGGGGAGCAGGCGGGATGCATTTCGCAGAAATCGTTTTTTTTTGTAAAAGTCAAAATATGATGATTGATGGTCTCGAATAAATTGGGATAAGGTAGGATATTATTATAGCATTCTTAAGAGAGACAAAAAGTCACGCTTTTATTTTTCAAGATATTTACCGAATGATTTAAAAGATAATGTAGCCAACTTGTGGCGGGCGCAATATGATTTATTAAATGTGTCTATCTATTTGAAAAAATAATAAGAATAATTCAAATAATAAATAAATCTGTATAATTTGAAATTGATATTTGAGTTTTTATTTAAAAAAATATATCTAACAAAATAACAATTACTTAGTAGGTAATGTATGAAATAATAATATAAACTATATTAAGAAAATAACACCAAATATACCCATTCTAATCGGAATAGGATTTCTTGCTCGGTACTGTGTCATTCATTATTGTACCTAAGTCCATACCTAAATCATCATTTTCTTGCTTTTTTAAATAGTTCTGAACTGCCTCGTTGCATTTCTTATATTATTTTGAGCTCACTTTTCTTTTTGAGGATATAAAAGAATCAGAAGTAAGTCAAAGAACACGCATGAGATCCTTATTCGTATCTGTTCTTGAATATTTTCTGGTGTGAGATAATCGATGTTTCCTAACCTCTTTATGGCGAGCCTCAAGCGCATCTTCCGACAGTTCTCCAATGGGCAAACAAAATGCATCAATTATCTCACACCCATGAACAAGGACCTTATGTGTTTGGCATGTTGTACCACTTATAAAGGTGGATATACAAATTTCTTGCTTCTTCCAGCAATGACGCAAACTTTTCCATATCAATAGCGCAACCACTAGCTAACACTACTAAGATGATCGCAAATTTCTCGATTAATTCCCTGTCAACCCCTGTGATATCTGAACTTGTTTGTGGATTGTGGAAAAAAATTCTGGCCGTATTGCCATCATATGAGGAGCCATACCCGGGTTTTGGTTTGACAACTATTAGAGACAGCTTGGCTCTGAACTCTGCTTGGATTCGTTTTTTGTTTGCTTCGACTATAGCTTTGTTTTCAGGCCCACGAACCTGCCAAGATTTAATTGCAGACTGGTATCGAATATGGAGTAAGCATTCAAAAAAACGAATCCAGCAGTGTAAAGTTGTCAAACCAAACCGGTAATTGTCTACGTTAGGAGGACGGTTAATCCCTGCTAACGTGTTCATGTCCTTGGGTGTGGCTCCGCAAATGATGCACTTCATAGTTGAATTTGTCTCTGATAGAACGTTTTCAACACTGCCGTCCAACATTGTTAACATCATATCAACTTCAAATATATAAGAGTGCCCTTCTTTTGTTTTAATCTCAATAGGAATCAAGTTTTCAATTTTTGTTATTATTTCCTTTTCCGTGTTCCGCACTAAATCAGCATTTTCCTTTTTGAATAAAAACTTGATCGGCCTACAATATAAAGTAGATGAAGGGCTCTCATTTTTCCACAATACCTTATTCGTTTCCATATCCATCAATCTGAGTGGCGTCATTGCTACAAGAAACAGAAATTCGTCGGTGTTTTCTAAATCAGAAAATTTCTGCCTATATTGGCTATGCCTAGAACTGCCATCAAATCCCCACTTGCATATCACTTTAATCCGGCAATCTCTCTCTTCAAAATTTATTATTTCAAGGATACTTTTAGCTGTTTTCTGTAGAAGTTCTTGCAAATCAACTTCTGCAGAAATTTCAGTAATAATAAATTGTGAAGGGAGCATAGCATTTTCTGTTTTCTGTAATTCTTTACAACTAGGAAGGCAGTTCTGGGCCTTACCATTAATAAAAGACCTAAGTAGCAAATACTTTCTCACGGATATATCCAAATCTACCATAAGGGCTAAAGCTTCAGCTGTACTAAAACTAAAAATTTGTGGCGAGATATCACTGTGATTGCTCCCAGAAACGACATTTACAGCAAATTGAAGTTCATTTGCAGATCTGTCTGTGGTTAGTTCGGCTACACGTCTTCGTTTTGTTTTCTTCGATGCCTCTTCAAATGGCACCCGTGGCCGTCCAACTGAGCTACAAGGAGGTTCTTGTTCCTCATCCGAAGATGTGTTTTCTTCAGAATCATTATTTATTCTATATATAATCTTGTCTAACCAATATACATGATTTTGTAAAAGTCGATTACGAGATTGACCTACTTTCTGCCTTCATTTGACATTTTCAACCCAAACAACTGGCTGCATTTCATAATATTACCTTTAAGATGTTTGGAAGGTTCATCTGTTATATCAATAAGAGATAATATCTTTTCATAAACCACCTGTTTTCTATTTCCTCTCGGTGCTTCTATCCACACATCAATCAAATCTCTATTTCTGACAATAGCACCATGTCCTAAAAAAAATATATCTCCCTTAGACGTGGCATGACGTGAATTAAACTTTTTATCAAAACTTACTGTGGACAGATAAACAATAAATAAAAAAATTTTTAGGGTGATGGGAGGTGATTTTTGTAAAACTCTAAACAAAGTCAAAAGTTTAAAACAAAAATCGGTAATAGTCACTTTAACTTAAAAAATTATCTAATTATAATTATATTTTAAATAAATCTATACATTAATATAATGTACTTACCAGCCTCATTACCAGCCATATTGGAAAAGTTAAAATATTTAAATATTTCGACACAGAATTTATATCTTTCCCGAGCAATAAAACAGAGAGATTTTTCGCCTTCTTGACAGGTCTCGACATGTCTAACTTTAAAGTTGCTAAAATAGGTAAATCGCAGCCAACTTGATTAAAGTACTATACTTACGTGTTGCAGTGACTATTTATCTATCCAATGGTATAATAAAAGCAACAGAATTCTAATGACAAAAATTATGTTTTTGAGTAATTTTGTCCATTGGGCGCCACACTGTGCGACAGTCCAAAAAAGGGGAGGGAGAAACTTTTCACTTTAGGAACTCGACGCAACTATCAGAACGCTTTTACCACTTAGGTACGGTAACATGTGATGACGTACCTCAAACTGCTAGCTAACCATATTACATCCTACGTGTACCGGTAATGTTTCATTCTTACAACCAATGAGTAGCAGAATATTTGTAGTAATCTACTAGCTTGCGAATATTATCGATTCTCATTCGATTTTCATAGATCTCTTCTGATTGCGCAGTAGTGCAAGGGATGTCATCTTTGTTAAACTGGATATAAGCCTTATCGCTTCCAGCACCAGCGATCTGCGAGGGTCCTCCTAGCTTACGTCATGCAACTGTGAAGTAAACTCATCCAGATTTATGGTGAGAAGAATGCAAACTTCCATCCTATGGCACCCCAGAGAAGCTTTGCAGTTGGTTAACTGACATTTTCTCTGGCCGCAGGATGTCCGTCGTAATTGACGGGTTCTCATCCCACAATGTCAATGCGGGTATTCCCTAGGGATTGGTCTTGGTTCTTGTTCCTCTCACACATCAATGACCTCACCTTTAACGAAAGTACTGGCATCTTGCTTTTGGACGTCACACAAGCATTTTGCAAGGTGTGGCACGCGGGCCTCCTGTATAAACTAATCCAAAAGGGCTTCCCTTTTTGGCTTCTAAAACTACTGAAATCCTTCCGGATCAAAATTGACAATGTCCTGTCAACAACACGGCTGATTACAGCCAGCGCCCCTCAGGGTTCGGTCGTTGGACCTATCCTTTACTCACTGTACATCCATGACGTCCCTAGCCCCAGCAACTGTAAAGTCTATCTCTATGTTGATGATACTGCATTGGTGGCTCAGTCGTGGTCTGGTGACCTAGTCCATGACAGGCTGCAAAGTGCGGTGGAGGAAGTATTAGATTGGGCGAATCGGTGGCTAATTAAAATTAACCATTCGAAAACGCAGGCAATCTCCTGTACAAAAAGACGTCGCGGCGTTCCGTCTGAAGTTTCAATGAATGGACTTCGTATACCATGGGAATCCTCCGCTAAGTATCTCGGTGTCATTCTGGACAAAGGGATGACTTGGCAAAACTATATAGAAGCGCTAAAAACGAAATTCCAAGTTTCGACAGCTTTACCGATTTTACCAAAATTAAGTTTGATTAACAAGATTCGACTCTATAAGGTGGTCAATGACTTACGCATGTGCGGCTTGGCGTTTGATTGCTAAAACACACAGGCGAAATCTGCAGGTTCTGCAAAGCAGGACGTTGCGCACTCTTGCTGACGCCCCATGGTATAACTCTAACGAAACTCTACATAGAGACCTCGATGTCCCTTCCCTAAAGGACTACATTAGGCAACAGGCGCAGCGGCGCTATAGCCTAGCGGAATCGCACAGCAACCGTCTGTTGCGTGAGTCAGTGGACTACACAGTCAAACAAGTTCGCAAGCACAAAAGGCCGCGGCTCTCACTGTTATCAAAATTAATTCGTGAACTTAGAACAACAAAAATTGGAGCATTTTGATAAAATCTTTAGAAGATAATCGAATATTTTTAGACCATATCAAAATCTGTGAAGTAATTTTAACAATGCCTGAACGCTGCTTATCCTAAAAGATTCTTTTCTTTCCCTTTTCTCTCGTTCTTCTTTCTCTCCTTTCTTTCCCTTTTTTCCTTAAAATTGTCTGGTTTCTGGGTTACCAGACCTGACAGACTTACAAACTGACACTGCGACTCAAGAGCTGAGGTCCCACGGACCGCTCTGACAACCAACGATGACTTGACATCAATGACCTCCTTTTCTGTACGATCAATCCGATCCACAGCGTTGCTGCTGACAGCACTCTACATTCACGGAGTGACAAGCTGATCTCTGCCGGTGAGCTGGAGAAAAGAAGACTGGCAGCGACTTCCTCACTGACGAAAGAGCTGGAGGTTGTCACTGCTTGAGGACGCAGAAATCCGATACAGTTTAATGCTCCCAAAACACAGCACAGAGTCGACAGAGTAACAAAGAGTCGTTCATTTCGTCTGGTTAGAGTCCAGATCACAGAGGACTAGATCTGGCATGCACATCTCGTCAATAGCGGCAGCTGCTGGAAAAAAGCTAGGCTATTTGTTCAAGGATAAGAAGTACCTTTCCCCACATGACTTCACCCTATACAAGGCTCAGATAGGATCTAGCCTCGAGTACTGCTCGCACATTTGGAATGCTGTTGCTGCGGCTACATTGTAAATGCTTAAAGCTGTTCAGAGGAAGGCTGTCCGATGGATCGATGACACTTCTCTAACGGATCGTCTCGGGACCCTTTCTCACCAACGGACCGTCGGTGATCTAGCTATCTGCTACCGCTATGCCAATGAGCCTCCAGTTCTACTAAGCTTAGGCAGTTCAAAAATCGGATTGACAAAGTTTCTTTAAGCTTCTCATAGCAGCTGCGGTACCTTGGTGCTTAGGCTCTTCCCTGAGCGGCTGCTTCTGTATATAAAAAAATGGTGATAAATCCCGTTTAATAATATGATGAGGCAAGGGCAAGGGCAAAATGGGTACAGTGTATCCATATCTGACTTTTGCTATTACTCAAATGCTGCAGATGGTAGATAAGAAAACAAACCAAGGATCTCTGTCGGGAGAAGCAACAAAACTTAATTTATTCACGCAAACTTGTGACTGGACAAAAACAAATCACTGCAATATATGGTAATGGTGCTGACACGAATGTTCAGAATTTGTTAGCAATACGACGTTTGTTCAAAAATTATCGCAAATTTTGAATTGTCGCAGGTTACGTATGTTCGATTTTCGATTTTTTTGTGGCGCTATTTTCTTACTCATGACCCGCACTAATGTTGACAATATCGGCCATTTTGAATGTGCTTGTCTCCGATTTTGGTCTATTCCAAAAAATGGATCAAAGGATTTGTATTAAATTTTGTGTAAAAAACAACTTGAAGTGCGCGGACATATTCCAACTGTTGACTGTTGCATAATGCGAAGCTACTTTGGACAAAAGCAACGTTTATCGGTGGTACAAAATGTTCTCAGAGGGCCGAGAAGATGTGAGCGACGAAAAGCGTTCCGGACGCCGGAACACGTCAACAACAGACGGAAACATTGATGAGTTCTTGCCGCAGGGTAGAACGGTCAATAAGGACTATTACCTTCAAGTAATCCGCAATTTGTGAAAAGCAATCCGCCAGAAACGCTCGGATTTGTGGAAGAACAAAAGTTGGCTTTTGCACCATGATAACGCCTCTGCTCATGCATCGTTACTTGTGAGCGAATTTTTAGCCATAGACAACACTCCAATAATGCACTCACCCACCGTATTCCCGAGACCTGCCCCCCTGTGACTTTTTTTTGTTCCCGGAACTGAAGAGGCCCATGAAACGACGATGCTACGGCATGATTGAGGAGATAAAGACGGCATCGAAGGAGGAGCTAAACAAGATAAAAAAAATGATTTTTCAAAATGCTTCGAAGATTGGAAAAAACGTTATCACAAGTGTATAATGTCTGAATAAATAAATAATTCTTGAAAAAACATGAAATTCGCGATACTTTTCGAACAAACCTCGTATGGTTGTTTTATAGTCCGTTTTTGTATAAAATCGAGCTTCTCACTTTGTAAGATGTCTGTGTCTGCTTTACCAAAAGGTTCAGGTAAAATATATAATCATCATTGGTTTTTTTTGTAATCTATGTACCTACTGAATAGCTGTAACCACCGAAGATGGCCAACCTAGTCTATATTTGCGTGTTCGAGGAATCATCCGAGATGGAATGATAGCGTCATCTAAAGGCTGCTACACACAGTGCCGGCGGCAGGGCCGCCGGGCAAGCCGCCGGCTAAGCCTCCGTACACCCGGCGGCATACAAAGCCGCCGGCCTTGCCGCGCAAAGGAGCCGCCGGGGTGTGCCGGTGGGTTACGCGGCTTGCCACTTCGTTCCTGGCATTCGAGCGGTAGTGTTGTACGGTTTGTGTGTTTAAACAAATTAAAATGTCGTTTAATTGGGACGACGAAGCTGTGCTGCTCTTAATTGAAAAATTTCATGAAAATGATATATTATGGAATTCCAGAAATGCAGACTATAAGAATAGGAACAATCGACGCATTGAACATAATTGCAAGTGTATTTGACATTGATCAAGGCGAAGTAGAGAGAAAGGTAAAGAATGTAACCTCTCATTATTTTCGGGAAAAAAGAAGTTCGAACAGTTGCACAAATCTGGTGCAGGCATAGGCGATGTACAGAAACCCAAAAACATGCTATTGCGCAAACGCTGACACCCCACATCATCTTTTTTATACTCTTCTATCAGTACAGTACCGTTTCGCCATTTTCTATTTTGTAAACCTTCTCGGCCTTTTGTATTTTTTTCTTATTAAAATAAAAATTACAACTGCCGCGGCTGTGCTGATTATCTCCTTATTCATTTTAACCAACAAACCATAAAATATGCACTTCACTAGCGTTCTATGTGACTGTCACAACCGGAATGATGCTTGGCGGCTTTGCGCGGCTTGTGCCCGCGGCTTGTATTGCCGACGGCACAGCCGCTCGGCATAAACCCGGCGGCATTGCCGCCGGCTTGTGTGTAGCAGCTTTAAGACAACTTCTCACAGCCATGTTTGTCTTTTCAAAGTAGACTTCCCATTATTGCGAACAGGAGAAACATGGCTGTGACAAATTCTCATGGATGACGCTATGGTGTTCTATTTCTACTTTATTTTCAGATAGAATACTTCAATCCATGCTACCACTTACAAATAATTGCGGTCAACTTTTTGGAGTCGAATAAACATATAATCAACTCAGCTCTCTACCTATATATGAACTAACATTCATGTAATAATAGCAGAATGCCTATGGTGCTGCTCACTTTCCCACAAATGCACGCAGCGACCCGTTTTATGAGACACCCAGCGTAACCGTTCGTGGCAGAACCGCAGTGTGTGCTCTCCTTTATGATTCGATTCAGTAACCATTACATCTATATTCCAGGTATCCAGAAAGGGGAGTAGGCTACGATAATCGCGGTTACGACTACAGAGAAACTGGTGTGGGTGGGTACAGGCCCTTAGACGAGACCTATAGAGGCAGCTCTGGGTTTGACGGCGCCGGGCGAGGGTACTATTTTGCTGCCGGTGTCGGCAGACCTGATTATGGTACCTCTGGTGGTGGTGGATATGGCAGGGGGTACGCCAATGGATGGGACTATGGAGAAACTGGCGGCGGCAGAGATGATTATTATAGGGACAGGGATAGAGGCAGAGGGTGAGTTACCTACTATCGTTGATTAACATATCCTACCTGAAGATTGCTAACCTAAAGCTACATTCCCGCGTCCCAAAAATTATCAAAGATAAAATTTAATACCCTAACGTCGTCTTTGAGAATTTGTCTCAGCTGTTACGTATGATGCAGCTATTCAAAGACGTCTATGAGATTTGTCCTCTTCTCTTTATATAACTTCTGATTTAGGACAAAATCCTGGACAAAAAGTCAAAATAAGTAAATTCATGAAGCTAGGTAAGATATCTTTCAATTTACTGGTGGCTCCATATTGCTGTGTTCCACTTCAAGCTTAAGCTTGCTAAAACAGGTGTTCACAAAATAGAAACCTACAACCGAGACAACAAGGGAGCCAAAGGAAGAAATGCTTTTCTATGCACTCATTCACGTATGGTGCAGCTACCCAAAGAAGTCGGTGAGCTTTGTGTTCTTGTTTATCCCACTTCTGATGTGGACGTGTGTATACGCTGCTGCGGTTGCTTTCATCTGTAATATATTGTTTCGTGTAGCAGCGCTCTGATCTGGGGAGCTTATTTATTATTTGAAAGACTATCCGACAACGAGGATATGGTGTCTAGTGTGGATAGCTTTATATACATAAGCAGCCACGAAAGGGGTGTCTGAATAGGTAGTATCATAAAGCAAATAAAAGCGTTTTAAGAAAGTACGAATGTGCAACGAAATACAACAATAAAATACCCTGTCTACAGATCTAAGGTTGATAGATCCGTAGGAATTGTATGATATGAGTTATTTTGAAACGTTACTACGAGCCCCTTCCCACTTCAGTTGATCCACTTCAAGATTTGTACCAAAATATGTCTTTATAAACTAAACATGACGAAACTATTTAATTCTAAAACAATTTGTTTTCTCAAAAACATTTTAGATACACTCTAGTCGTAAAAAATACATATTTGAAATCACTTAGACCTATAACTAATAGAACAGCTGAACAAATAAACAATGTGCGAATAAATGCGCGAAGTTAACAAAGCAACAATTGAAAGATTACCATTGGGTAACATCACCTTTATTTTTTATTACGGCTGAAATCTTGGGGCATAGCGTTAACCAAGTTTTGGCAAAAATTTGGTGTTAAACAATCCCATATTTCTTGAAGCTTTTGTCTCAGTTCGGTGATTGTAAGAGCAGGATGTTGTCGTAGAACCTTTTTCATCTCGTGCCACAAAATTTCAATAGGTGACAGATCTGGACTGCTAGAAACCCATTTCAAAAGTGGTACATTATTTTCTTCCATCCATTTTATAGCCTTTTTTGATGTTTGGCACGCTGCACCATCTTGCTGAAACACAAAATCTTGGCCGGATGTCAAACATTCTTCCATCACTGGTTAAAGCGATTCTTCTAAAATTGCAAGATATTTGTTTGTATCCACATTTCCATCAATAAAATGAAGTTTTCCTACTCCTTTTGATGAGATACTGCCCCAGACCATAATGGATGCTGGAAATTTCACTTTTCTCTTCAGACAGTCAACATGGAATGCTTCATTTTTTTGCGAATAAATCTACTGCGACTGTCACCAACGCAAACTTCGAATCGGGCCTCATCACTCCATTGTATTGCACACCATTGTTCAGGTGTCCATTGTCTATGTTCTTTAGCCCATCTAAGCCGATTTTTCTTTTGCAGTGCAGTTAATAGTGGCTTTTCTTTGGCCTATAAACAAGTTGTGCAGCTTTAGGGTTTTTACTTCACTTTTTTTTATAAGAAAACTTACCTTGCAAGTGCTAAATCCCAGTTTGTGGGCCTCTCTATAAGTTGTGGACCTCGAAATTCTCCTTCCAACAGCGTCACTCCACTGAGCACTTAATTGTAAATAATTGGCACGCCTGTTTCTCACGATTATTCTTCTTAATGCTCTTCGGTCGGCATTTGTGATATCACTTTTTTTCACATATCGTGGCTTAATATTAACTGAACCTAACAATACTTCTCACACTGTACCGCGATAAGTTGCAATTTCTGCGTTTGATTTCCCAGAATTAAAAAATTTAATTATCAGTAACCGAATTTTCTCACTAGTAACCTTTCCTCTACCCATTTTGAAAACCTTAACTACCCAAAACTATTTTAAACGTATTCTGACAGCTGTGATTAATTGTCATGGCTTTTATTTTTTACAGCCACCTATGCGTTATAGACGTTAGGGAGTGATAATATTATGAAAATATTCATTGTTAATATTTTAAACCTATAATACTCTGCTACATTTTTATTATTTGTGTTTGATAAGAAAAAAACTAAGATTTCAATAGGTGGGCCAACTGAAGTTGGAAGGGGCTCGTAGATAATGAGCCTCTAGTTGCTCACGTTTTACGTGACGGATACTAGCGAAAGTGCCGGATTACATGATTTCGATAAATGACGATGGTCACAAGCTAAAGAGACTCATGTGTGGAAGACTTCTGTTGAGTATGGGATCCTTCTTCTTCAAGTTGCGTACGTTTTATGTCAGTGGTCGCCAACCTTTTCAGTGTGTTGAGCTACTTTGATAATTTTGGAATAAATAGTAAGCTACCCAGTCGCAAGCAATGTGAGCGAACCTAAATGAAATTATACACAGCTACGGATACACATACTAATAAAGATAAACTAATAATTATACGAACTACATACGTACATCCACTCCAATCGTGGTGTTCGAAAAATAAACAAAATTTTTTGTCAGCTACAATGGCATGTCACATACGATTTAATTAAGGTAACTAAAAATACAGACAGCAACGCACTATTTAAAACAAAAACATTTCCAGATAAAAAATGCCTGTTCAATGGAAAGCCTAACACACAGACTCAATGACAATTTGTTTAATGTTCATCTGTAACTCGATTACGGTATTTGTTTTTAATAAACTTCATATTTGAAAAACAAGATTCACACAACTAGGTTGAACTAAATAACGCTTCCATTTTCATGGTAACACGACATAAAACTGCATATTTATATATCACTGAAGGTCAAATACATTTTGTATTTGAGACTAATGATTTTAAAGCTAAATCATTTTAAAACTCGATGTCTTCGCTAAAATTCTGCGTAACAAAAGCTGCAAACTCTTCGATCAATTTCCATGAATTGTGAACCAACAAACTGCGCGACTGTAGCAATTTCGTTGAAATCCCTGAAACGATTTTTGATGTTATCCTTCAGGTTAGAGACTATTTCTACATGATATCTACTGGCATATGGTTCTAATAGACTTTGAGATATCTTTTCTGAAAGAACAGGAAAATGCCTGGTAACGCCATCGATTTATTCCCAAAACTCAAGCTTATCAACGATCATTTCTGCTAGTTCTTTGTCTCTCCCCTGAAGCTGCAAATTAAGTTCATTTAATTTTTCTGTAATATCCACAAGAAAACCGAAATCTTTAACCAATATAGAATTTTCCAGTTCCGGAGTAGGTTCATCACGTTGTTTGAAAAATTGAATTTCTTTGTAACGCTTGAGCTATAATCTTGATCACAACTTTTACTACCAATTTCATAACGTTGCTTAGTTTTAGAAAATGTCCACATAATGCTTGCTGATGGATAATGCAGTGATAACAGAGAAAACTTTCATCTTTACGACATAACCCCACGAGACCCTTACAACGACCCACCATAACTGGAGATCCATTGGTTGTCAAGCCTACCATCTTCGATATTGGAATTTTCTCTGAAGAGATAATATTTTTAAAAGAAGAAAACAAGTGCTTCCTAGTAGTCTGTCCTTTTAGTGGAATAAACTTTAAGAAATCTTCGTTAATCGTAAAGTCACTAAGAACCATCATGATGAACACTGCCTCCGCGCCTTGCGTATTTATTCCGTTCAAAGCAGTCGAGATCGTTCTCGAACAGATCGCTCACCACAGTGTTACCCCTGCTTGTGTTTGCTATGAGAATCTACAAAACTTACGGAAGCTTCTAAGGATTCTAAAACTGGTTTAAAATATGTTGTGAGCCACTTGAATTGCCCTTTGCGAGCTATCGGTAGATCGCGATCGACGGGCTGGCGACCACTGTTTTATGTGCAAAAAAATAGTATATAACACTTTATTGCTAATTATGTTGTGTCACTGAAATTGTGGAGCAAAATATCACTGTGCAACGTTTGGTAAAATTGTGTGTCGTGTTCCACAGGCCATGTCAGGATCCCTGTTGTGATGTGTACAGAAGATTCTATGAACGAAATAATAGCAGGTGCAAGCATCTGTGAGTATATTTATTTTTCGAGCTGCTAACTGTGCTGGGAAGGTGATCTGAAAGGGCAAGTGTGTTGGATTCCTTCACCAAGTTAACGTCTAACCCATGTCGCTTAGGGATATTTATCTTCAACGAATACATTAAAATGGTTAACTCGGATTTGGTTTGTTGGGCATTCTATAACACGTTTTAATTAATTGGTTTTCCAATCGAGTTTCGCACTGTACAGCTTCTTAATAATTTCCATATTTACGACTAATTTTATGTTTCGTCTATTCATCGATCATTACCACAAAATGGTGTCCTCACTATTATGGGCAAGGTGATCTATATCATACTGATGATAACAAGGATAAAACGGCACCGTGTACGGTAGGTTACACAGACGAAAAGCAAATACCTTCAACATCTCATCGCGAAAACAGACTAATGAATCCACATTCTTAAAAATAGTATAGAAGCCATCCTCGCATCTGCTCCATTTTGAATTCAGTCTTTTGCATAGTTTGATTAAAAAAGCGGATAAAATCTTTTGGAATTTTGGTAAGGGATGTTTGAAGAAGGGTCTTTGGCAACATTGAAGTCTTCGTTCTTAAATTTTGTTTTTAAAACAAAGTCTCTAAAACAACTTTATAAGAAAGTCAATCAAAAATGTTTAGGGCAAAAAAACGTTTTTCGGAATGTGCTTA